CTCCTCCTCCTCCTCCTCCTCCTCCTCCTCCTCCTCCTCCTCCTCCTCCTCCTCCTCCTCCTCCTCCTCCTCCTCCCTCGTCGCGCCGCCGCCTCGGAGTGCGGCACCTCTCCGGCCCGCGGCCGGCGGCGTGCGCAGCGCAAGCATTTTCGCGCCCCTACTCGGGAGCGGAAAAGAGGGGGGTGATGACTGGGGGGGGTGGATTTCATGGCGCGGGCCATGATTTTTCCTCAGATTTCATGGCGCCTCTTCTTATTTCATTACGTCCCTGGCCCCCCCGCTGGGCCGCGCACATTGCGCCGGTCATGATTTCCATCCCCCCTCTTGGACACCCCCCTCTTTGCCGCTCCCGACCTACGGGGGGTCTGGATTCGCGCCCCCTCTGGGGATCTGGATCCTCCATGTGCACAGTCCCCCCCCCCTCCTTCCCGATCCGTCCTCCCTGATCCTCATCCCCTCCTTTCCGTCGCTGCTCCCACCTCCAGCCAAGCAATACGAGTACGACTCCTACGGTGGGGGCAGAGCCTTGAGCGAGGCTCGATATGAATCCTGCTCCCCCTCTTCCAATGAAGTTGTCCGGAAGATCTCCCGTCCCCTCCGCGCGTTGTTGCTTACACAGGTGACTTGCAATTCGATTGTTTTCGGTGCTTCAAAATGGTGTTCCAGCTGCAACGTGGGCCTCACTTTCAGATCGGCGCTTTTCTCCCGTCGTTCAGACTTTTCTGGATCCGAGTCGTGCTTCATTGAGGTCCCCCCCGCCCTCATTTCTCCTCCGACCTCCCCTGGTCCTGGTGTTCCTCCCGATCATTCCGCTCCAGTTCCTGTTCCCGCTATCTGTCTCGCAAAAGCGCGGGTCACTTTTCTGAGCCCAGTCTCTCTTCATCGTTGTCGCCCCCTCTCAACTCCTCTTCTCCGCCTTCCCCTGGTCCTCTTTTCCCTCCCGATCCTTCGCTTCAGTTTTTGTTGATGTTGTTCCTCCTCGTCCTTTTCCTCCCGCTCAACCTGCTCACCCACCACCTCCTCCTCCTCCTCGTCCTCCGCCTCCTGTGCACGCAGCTCCCCTGTTTCCCGATTCCGCATCACACGACTTGGGCTTTCTGTGGGAGTCGCAGGTCGGCTACGCCACGCGTCCGCGGACAGAGACAGATCAGCGGCACGGGAAGGGACGGGAGGGAGGGAGCGGATGCCGGATGAGGCGCGAGCGCACCTACTCCAGATTTCGTAATAAAGGGAGGGGGGTCTCATTTCGGGGGGGGTCGTTTCCAAGCTATCTTGGAGGGCCTGGGGGGGTCTGGGGACGATGTTTTGGAGGGTTCTCCCACGGGGGAGGTCTGAAATGGCCTGTCTTGGAGGGTCCAGACCCCCTCCTTTTTATTACGAAATCTGAGTAGCTTGCCTCCTCCCTCCCGTCTTTCCCCCCCCCCCCCCCCCACCCTCCCCCCTGGATGACCTGACCTCGCCAGCTGCACAGGTCCGAGTGGGTGCGCCATGTCGGCGCGGGCGGGCACGCGCGGGGCTGCTCAGAGCGAAAAGTGTGCGGTCATCGGCCGTCACCTCCCCCCCTGCCCGCCCCCCCTCCCCCGGGAACTCGCGCGGAGTGAGAGGGAGGCGTGCCGTGCGAGAGCACTTTGGGCGTCGGCGGCTAGGCAGAGGGTGACCGCGCTAGGCATGAACTGATGGGCCTGTTTTACACCACCACCACCACCATACGTTGGAGGGGGAGGGGGTCGTCCTCCTTCTCCTCCTCCTCCTCCTCCTCCTCCTCTCCTCCTCCTAACTCTCTCCTCCTCCTCCTCCTCCTCCTCCTCCTCCTCCTCCTCCTCCTCTTGGTCCTCCTTCTCCTCGTCCTCCACCTCCTTCCCCCCTCCAACTTATGGTGGTGGTGGTGGTGGAAAACAAGCCCATCATGAACGGGGGTACCGTTGGGCCGAATTGTGCCACCATGCAGGAGGAGGCGGGCGGCTCGGGAGTCAGAACGCTCCCCGAGCGTATGGCGCGGCCAGCGCTGTTGTTCGAGAGCACGCATGGAAGAGGAGATACAGAAGAGCACCATCAGATCAGAGTGAGGGGGCCGAAGGATCATTCATTGTCCCTGGGTGTGTGGCTCAAGTGGCGATCCGTGGTGAGGATTATGTTTGTTGCATTATTGTTGCTGCTGTTGCTGCTGTTGTTGTTGCTGTTGATGTTGCTGTTGTTGATGTTGTTGGTGTTGGTTGTTGTTGTTGTTGTTGGTGTTGCTGCTGTTGCTGCTGTTGTTGTTGGTGTTGCTGTTGTTATTGTTGGTGTTCTTAGTGTTGTTGGTGTTGGTGTTGTTGTTGTGGTGGTTGTTGTTGGTGTTGCGGTTGTTGTTGGTGTTGTCGTTGGTGGTGGTGTTGTTGTGGTTGTGGTTGCCGTTGTCGTTGTCGTTGTCGTTGTCATTGTCATTGTTGTTGTTGTTGATGTTGTTGTTGTTGTTGCTGTTGCTGTTGTTCTTGTTCTTGTTCTTGTTGTTGGTGTTGGTGGTGTTGTTGTTTTTGTTGTTTGTTGTCGTCGTCCCCCCCGCGACCCACCCCGCGACCCACCCCGCGACCCCCCCCCCCCCCGCGACTCAGCCCGCGACCCAGCCCGCGACCCACCCCGCGACCCACCCGCGACCCAGCCGCGACCCACCCGCGACCAACCCCGCGACCCATCTGCGACCCACCCGCGACCCACTCGCGACCCGTTTGTGACCCACCCGCGACCCACACCGTGACCCACCCGCGGCCCAGCCGCGACCTACTCGCATAGCTTTAACCTTACAAATCGGCGCCTGCGGCGGGCTCGTTGTATAATTTGTGCAACTTTGGCGCCTGCGGCGGGCTTCTCCAGAGTCTCGCAGGCTGCCCACGTCCCCACCGCCCCCTCACTCTTATCCGCATCTGCGCGGTGCTACGTACGCGTACATATCAGCAAATACGTGTGTGTTAGCCAGCGTGGACCCCCCTCCCCCGTTCTCCCCTCGGGCCGAACGATGGGTTCATTCCTCGATACACGGGCGCCTCCCGGCGCCAGGAGGCGCCAGGAAAACCAGCTACGTGAGCTGATTGCCTACCCTGCCCCCTTCTATTCCACCCTTGTCGCCCCCCCCCGATGCCTGCCTCCCCCCCCCGCCCCGCGAGGCCCTCGAGGAGACCGAGGGCGATGGGGCCGAACCGGTGCGGGGGCCGGAGGACGACTTCCTCCTCCTTCTGACCCACGCCGAGCAGCAGGCGCAGATCTCCCAGGTTCAGGAGCGTCAGGGTTCGCCTCGCTTCCGCCTCGCGCGTCGCGGTGCTCGTCCTCCCCTGGTACAATCGAACTGGGTACGGAAAGGATGTCAGAGGAGAAAAAGATACCTACACCGCTACCCTTCGCCCGTTTTCCCCTTTTTGGGCCTCCTGGGAGGCCCCCGTCGCCACCATTGGATTCTCCTCGAAATTCTGGTCAGAACGCACCCCAGGAGAGATCCAGGGAGCAGCGGTATTGGTACCTTGTGGTTTCCCCAGGAATGAATGGGTAGTACGAAGGCCGACAGCAGTAACGGGTCATTTTGGACCAGATTCGCCGTCGGTGTCGTCGCGGGTGTTGTTGGTTTGAGACTAATAGCGTTCGCCTGCCAAACATCGGCCTGTGCCGGGTTTGTACAATTTGTTGTTGGGCATCGTACGGTAGGTTCGCGTCGTGTCGACCGGCTGCCACTCCGCCGCGGGCGTTCAAGGTTGAACGCCGCCAGTGGCACAGAATCGGCCCACATGGAACGACCGGCCGATCGAAAAATTGCTGGTCGTTCAAGGTTGAACGATCCACGCGGTGTCAGAAACCAACGCCGGGGTCGACACGACGCGAGCCCGCGGTACCCATTTCTGCCGTACCCATTCCGGGCGCCCGAATTCTCGTCCTTGCCCCCCCTGGGGCGAGAGGGCGCAGGTTGCTCCTCGCCAGGCGCCGTCTGCGCGGATCGGTGGGAGTGCTCTCGGCGGGCGCGCCGCAGCATGCTCTTCCTTTCGAGGTCCCAGCGCACCTTTGAGCTTGTTTTTTGTTCCCAACCATCCTGTGGTGTTGGGTCCTCGTTTTGAAGAGACGGTGGCCCGCGTCCCTCCTCTCCTCCTCCTCCCCCTCCTTCCTCCCCCCTCCCATCGTCATCATCATGACACACCCCTCACACGTTTTCCTTTCGAGGTCCCCCAGCGCACCTTGGAGCTTGCTTCTTGTTGAGTATGGGCGATGCCGGCCGTGATCGGCTCTCCTCCCCCCCCCCTGGATCACGTCGAGGATTTCCTAAGATTCCTAAGATTCCCTAAGATTCGAGGATTCCCTAAGATTCGAGGATTTCCTAAGATTCCTAAGATTTCCTAAGATTCCTAGGATTCCCATTCTGCCCACATGTTCGAGGATTTACTAGGATTCCCGGCGGCCCCTCGCCGTGATGTGATCAGGGGGGGGGGGCGATATTCCCCCCCCCCCCCTTCCCCGATCACGCCCGTTATCGCGAATTATGTGTTCACCAAAAAGAGCAACTTTCTGCGCCTCTTCGATCCCAGCTCGTGTCCGCCAAGTTGTTGCGTGTCCTCCTGGACGTTTTGTCTCCGCCGACTGCAGCTCCAGTGCAGACACCGGAGAGCTCTGGGGCATCGCTCTTCCCCCTTCCCCCCCCCTTTGACCCTGCGCGAGGGGGGCAGCCCAGGTGCAACCGAGCCAGAGACGAGACAGTATTGCGTCAGCGTTTCGCTATTTGAAAGGGCAGGCCAAGTGTGAAACATGCCGCGGTTCACTGCACGAGGCCGGCCTGGTGCAGGTCGGCTGGCGTGGTGCCCCTGGGTCGCCTGGCGACTGTTTGATTCGCGCAGTGGTTCATGCTGACACGTGTAAAGATCCGTGATTGTTGTTTCGTCTTCCTCCTTCTCCTCCTCCTCCTCCTCCTCCTCCTCCTCCTCCCCCTTGTCAACATCAGCAGCAGCAGCATTATCATCATCATCATCATCATCATCATCATCATCATCATCAGCATCATCATCAGCATCAGCATCATCATCATCGTCATCATCATCATCACAAAAGGTAGGAGGCGAGACAGTCGGCAGCGGCCCCAGAGTGTCAAGTCATTCCCGGCGCGTCGCCATGAGATTATGAAAAGCATGCCCGCGTGTCCGATGTTATATTGTACATTATAATGTTTGTGTTCGCTGCTCTGGCTGTTTCACTGTGTGGTGCAATTTATGCTATCCGGAACATGTTCGAACACTTGCGTCAATTTGGGACGCAAAAGGAAGTGGCAACGCATGGATAGGAATAAGATCATCCAACGTTGACCTGCATATTCCTTTTCATTCACGTAACTCGCGCAATTCCGCCGACCCCCAGCGGAGTAGAGACGTCCAGGGCGTTGGTAGGCGATGTCGAAGCTGGACTGTCTGGGTGTTTTTGTTAACGCTTGCGAGGGATGAGGAAGAGGAGGAGGAGGAGGAGCAGCGGAGGTGGGAAGGAGGAGGGCGGAGAGAACAAATAATTTAGAGGTGCAACGGGGGCCATTGGGATTTGTCACGGGGCTGCTTGCGGGTTTCTGGGAGCTTCCGGTGGAGGCTCTGGGGGGCTCGTGGTGCTGGCTGGGAGTTTTGCGGAAGAGCTTCTATGATGGATTTGAGGGTCTTTTGGAATGTCTCTCAGGGGCAATTTAGACGGCTTCGGGGGCGGGGGTCTCTGGGGTGCATCTGGGGCCATGACGGGGGGAAGGGCTCTGAGATGTCAGTTCGAATTGCTCGTGGGCCGTCTTAGAGGCCCTTAGGGTCCCTCGTGGACCGTCCTGGGGCTGTATTGGGCCGTCTTCGGGCCCTCTTGAGCCGCATTAGACGCTGTCAAGACGAAAAAGGCAGGTATCTAGAAAGTGCACGTTCTTGTAAAGTAATGGGACGAGTGGTGCGTCTGGTAGCCCTCTCGGCAATCATTTGGAAACACTCTTGCTCCATCTTGGGGTCCTCTTTGGCTGTCTTGAAAGCATATTGGACCGTCGTGGGGTTACCCTGGGCCGTCTTGACGCTCTCTTGGACTCTCTCGGCGCTCTGCTTGGGCCCTTTTGAGCCGTGATGGGGCTCTCCGGGGGCTCCAGATAGTCCCCGGGGTGCGTCGACGAGCTCGTTCCCCTCCACCTCCCCCCTCCTTGAACTGGATTTTGGGCCCCCTGGGGAGGGCGAGCAATTAGGGGGAGGGGGGCAGCCAAATGTTCCACGCGCCTCTTCACCCCCTGCAGGCGGGGGGTCGGCGGGTTCTTCGCGTCACTCCACGTGCGCTGGCATTGGCTTTAAGTCGGGCCTATCCCTCCACAGGAGGAATGTTCAAAAATTGTCTCAAACATTAGTCTGGGGACGATGTTTTGGTCAGTCGGGGTACGTTTTGACTATGAATTGTTTTTCGTCCAAAATCCGCCTGTAGGAGGGCATGCCCGACCTAACCTTGGCTCCACGTTGGCGGGAGCCCCCCGCTGGTGCTCTAGGCTGGGTAGTCGAAGGCCAGACTGTCAGATTGGATTGGGCCCCAAGGGCCAATCTGGCCCAGCCAAACTGGATGATTTGGGTTATTCGCCAGACTGGATTCGCGTTGGCTCCCTCGCCAGATTGCCCCCGTTTGCCAGATTGGGCCTGCCAGATTGGCGCCAGATTGGCTTCGACTACCCAGTCTAGGGGTCCTCGGCGTCCTCGGCCCGCACTGCGCCACCGCTCCGCCCCCTCGTCTCCTCGGCCGCCCGCTGCCGCCTCGGTCGGGGGCAGCGACAGGGTGGCGGACACGCAGACGCGATAAATCGTCGACCCCCAGGGAGTATGGGAAAACACGGGAAACAGATGGGGCGTCCTGGGATTTGTGTCTATTTCTGTGTGTGTCCCTTCAGATAGGGGCGTGTGGGGAGGGGGATGCATCGACCCCCAATCGCCACCTCATCGCCGATAGAGGCTTGATAGCCCAGGAGCGTGCAGAATTGCTGCCGAGGGCATGTCGCCGATCCATCGGCGATGTATCGCCGATTCCAGGTCGATGTTTCTCCCACATACAAGTCCCTTCCTATCGTTGCCCCTCATTCTGCCAGGGGGAGAGAGCGCGACACCGCCGCGACGCATTTCGGCTTGCGCGCGGCGCCATGGGGTAGATGAAGGGCGCGCGTCGGTCCCCTTCGCGTGGTAGTCTTGCCATTGCAAGAGGTCTCGTGTTTAATCTTCCGTCTCAGTGTGATTTGCGTCGTCGCCACGGCTGCATTCAAGCTCGCTTGATTTGCTGATGGAGCCGGGCCGCCGTCATAAGCGAATCAAAACCAACAAATTAATCAGGGCTGATTTCGGCACGGGGGAGGAGGAGGAGGAGGAGGAGGAGGAGGAGGAGGAGGAGGAGGAGGAGGAGGCGGAGGCGGAGGCGGAGGAGGAGGAGGAGGCGGAGGAGGGGGAGGAGGAGGAGCGAATCAAAACCAACAAATTGACGAGGGCTGAGTTCGGCACGGAGGCTGAATCTGTCTTGTGCGCAGAGTGTTTTCGTGCCGCATGCCTCTTCCCTCCCGCTCCTCCTCGCCCCCTCCCGCGCGCACTCCCGCCCGCGGTCGCGCGGGGCGTCGCCTGGATAGGTCCCGAGCGAAGTGGACCCCACCTCCCCCCTTAGAAAATCATGGGGTGGTGGGGTAGGATTCGCATGTGGCCTCCTACTGGACCCAGGGCTCTACCGCGATCGTTGTTTGATCGGGTGCTTGATCGGTAGGTGCCCCCCCCAGGAGTGGCTCCAGAGGAGCGACGGGAGGAAGGCGCGGCTCTTCGAGAAGGACATTGCGACGCTGGTCCGGAAGTGCAAGGTGGTGCAGTGGATGTGAGCGGCGTTCCGGATGGCGTTCTTTCTGGTTTTGCGTGCTGCCGTTGTTTGACCCTCCTCCAGGTCCCAGACACCGGGCGTCTCGGAAAAATCGAGACGAAGGTGTTCTGTAGTTTTCTGTTTCTCGGGGCCCTCGCCGGGCCTCGGGACCGTCAAAAAACAACTCGGGATGAAAAATTCTCTACGCTTCGCGTATCCCCACCAGCCCATCTCACAGCAGCAACTCTTGCGAAGCATGCCGACAGTCGTGTTTTTCAGGCGTGCGTCCGCTTCGGCCCGCATATCTCCCCTGTTCCTCCTTCCTCCCGCCTCCTTGTACATCCTCCTTGTGGGGGGAGCGGGAGAAGGACGAGGCGGAGGAGGAGGGAGAGAAAGCGCTCCTCGTGATTTGAGTCGTTTGGGGTTTCTCGTCCTGGTGTGAGTCGTTCGGGCCCTTCTTCCTGGTGTGAGTCGTTCGGGCTCTTCGTGGTGTGAGTCGTTCGGGCTCTTCGTCCTGGTGTGAGTCGTTCGGGCTTCTCGTGGTGTGAGTTGTTCGGGCCCCTCATCCTGGTGTGAGTCGTTCGGGCCCCTCCTCCTGGTGTGACTCGTTCGGGCTCCTCGTGGTGTGAGTCGTTCGGGGCCCGCGTCGTGGTGTGAGTCGTTCGGGCTCCTCGTGGTGTGAGTCGTTCGGGCGCCTCGTCCTGGTGTGAGTCGTTCGGGCCCCTCCTTGTGGTGTGAGTCGTTCGGGCTCTTCGTGGTGTGAGTCGTTCGGGCCCCTCGTCCTGGTGTGAGTCGTTCGGGCTCCTCGTGGGGCCTCTTGGGGGCCTCTTGGAGCCTCTTGGGGCCTCTTGGGGGCCTCTTGGGGGCCTCTTGGGGCCTCTTGGGGGCCTCTTGGGGCCTCTTGGGGGGCCTCTTGGGGGCCTCTTGGGGGCCTCTTGGGGGCCTCTTGGGGGCCTCTTGGAGGCCTCTTGGGAGCCTCCTGGGGGCCTCTTGGGGCCATCTTGGGGCCTCTTGCGACCTCCTCAGAAGCGCAAATGAGCGCTGCCCCCTGAGAAGGACTAAATGAGGCCAAAACCTTCGTAAAATCAATGATTTTGCTATGAAGGAAGAGGAACGCGGCCCCCTCAGAAGGCCAAAATGGGACCAAAACCGTAGTAAAATCAATGTTGTTTACTTCAACGACGAGTTCAGGCGCCAAACTCCCTCCCCCCCCCCCCTCGGGGCCAGAATCCTCGTGAGGGTCGTCGTTTTTTGGCCCTCCCAGGAGTCGAAAAAGACCCCCCTGAGAACACTCGGGACTCCCTGTCCAGGCCCAGGGGGAGGGGGTAGGGGGAGGGGTAAACCCCTCCCCGAAGGGGAAGAAGGGGGGTTGAGGACAGAGGGGGCTCTCTAAACCACTCACGCCCAAAGGGCTGGTGGGATTTGTCCTGAGGAAGTGGTCGGGAGGTCGGGGGCCCCAGTCTCGAAAGAATCGAGACGTCGGATGTCTCGGATCTTCCTGATCCTTCGGCGTTTTCTTGTCTTGAAGTTTGTAGACATGTTCGACCACCTCCGAAAGAAATGTTCTAGACGCTTCGCGTAACCTCACCAGCCCATCCATAAACGATATTCATACGAGTTGCCCTGATCAGGGATGTGGAGGAGCATAGAGTGAAATGAACGATTGGGTAAGACGTCCTACCCCAAGAGGGGTGAGGATGGAGGAGAAATCGGAGGAGCAGGAGGAGAAGGAGGAGGAGGAGGAGGAGGAGAAGGAGGGAGAGGGTGAGGGGGAGGAAGGAGGAGCAAGGAGGAAGTAGGAGGAACAGGCGGATGAGAAAGGAGGAGGATGAGGACGCACAGAAAAGCGAGGAGCCTCTTGGATGCTTCTCGGAGTCTCTTCGGGTTTCTTCCGACGAGAGCTTCGTGGAGTCCTCTTGGGGTGTCTTGGACCACCCCCCGACCCCAGCGGTGCAGAAGCACCGTATCAAGAGGATGAGGGAGGGCAAGCCACCGCGATAGTGGTTGGTTGTCAGCCCCTCCCCATCCATCCTTTTTCATTTAGCGTTTGCGTTCGGGCAACTTGGATGCACTCCTGCGTGCCTCTCTCTCTCTCTATCTCTCTTGGGGTGTCTGGGGGGGTCTTGGCAGTCCCGAGGGGGCCTCTTGGGGCGTCCTGGGGCATCTAGGCTCTGCCTCAGGGCAGGCTGACAGCGCACGCCCCGGCCAAAGGCTGGGGAACTTGCGGCAAGGCCGGAGGACGCCTACCGCATCTTCAGATTCTAGGCCTCTCAGGGGGTCTCGTGGGAGCCTCTCGGGGGCCTCTTGGGAGCCTCTCGGGAGCCTCCTGGGGCCTCCTGGGCACCTCTCGGGGCCGTCTTAGGGCACCCTTGGGAGCCTCTGGGGCCATCTTGGGGCCACTTGGAGGAGATCGATCAAAGGAGGTGCCGTAATTAGGGCATAAAAGGTCCCCCCTCCAAGGAGGCCAACATGGGGCAAAAACTCAAGTCAAATCAATGACTTTGGTTTTCTCGCCGAGGCCTCTGGGGCGTTTTGGGTGCTTTTGGGAGTCCTCTTGAGGCCTCTTGGGGATATCTTGGGAGCCTATTGGGCATCTTGGTGGCCTCTTGGAGGCCTCTCGGGGCATCCTGGGCACCTCTTGGGGCTGTCTTGGGGCACCCTTGGGAGCCTCGGGGGCAGTCTTGGAGGAGATCGATCAAAGGAGGCAGCTCCTCACGTAGGGCCCGCCCAGGAGGCCAAACTTTGTCCAGATCCTTGCGTCCCGAACAGCGCTTCGCCAGAGGGTTCTCAAACAGTGGGGGGCCCATGCCAAGAAACACCCTGCTCGCCTCCAGGGTGCCCTGGGCTTGTTGGGTTCCGATAGTTTTGCTATGGAGAGCGCGACCTTCCCACACGGAAAAAAATAACGTCCTGGGGTCTCAGGGTTGGGTTTCTTGTGGAAGGTGTTTTGTGGTCGGGCCCCTATTGCCGTGATCAGAGATTCCCTCTCTCCAGAATCTCCACAGAAGGGGGCTCCTTACGTAGGGCCCCCCCAGGAGGCCAAATTTTGGCCAGATCCATACGTCCCGAACAGCGCGTCGCCAGAGGGTTCTCGTAGTGATCAGAGGTTCCCTCTCACCAGAATCTCCGAAGGGAGAAGAGGAGGAGGAGGAGGAGGAGGAGGAGGAGGAGGAGGAGGAGGAGGAGGAGGGGGAGGAGGGAGGAGGAGGAGGAGGAGGAGGAGGAGGAGGCTGGGGGGAGGCGTTTTTCCCAGGCCGGGCGGCGGCCCCGCAGAGCAGCTTGGGCAGCGCTCACCTGCAGCGTTCTGGCTCGATGTTTGGTTCACGTTGGCGTTCTTCGGCGGCGAGCGAGGGGGGGAATTGAGAAGGAGAAGGCCTTCTCAGAAGGCGGCGGGACTTCTCAGAAGGCATCGCGCCTTCTGAGAAGTTGTTGCTGTCTTCGGGGAAGGCTAAGCAACATTCTCGGAAGTCCGGGGGGGCTTCCGAGCCTTCTGAGAAGGCACGCCCCTTCTCACTTCCCTCCCTGGCTCGCCGCCTAGTTCTGGCTCGATGTGGTTCAGAAATGCTGCTCGCGATGGTTTCTGGCCACATTCCAGCCCTCCCAGATCCAGAAACGAGACTCACTGTTGTGCTATGGCTCGGCTTGATCCAGACATGAGACTCAGTATGGCGTTTTGGCTCGGACTCCTTTGACCACACTCCCCTCAGGAGAGAGGCCAGGGAGGTCTGGCGGCTCTCAGGAATCGACTCGCTCTGATGCGTTGGCTCGATTTACAGCCGTCGCAAATACAGAAATGAGACTCACGAGTATGTTTTGGCTCGGTTTCCACCTTCGCAGATCCAGAAACGTGACGCACTCTGGCGTTTTTCTGGCTGGACTTGGCTTAGATTCTGCTTGGACTATCCACAGGGGGAGTGTCCTGGAGAGATGTCAGCCCTCGCAGATCCAGAAACGAGCCTTACTCTGGCGCTTCGGTTGGATGTGGTTCAGAAAATCAGGTTCGCGATTTTGCTCAGCCCTCGCAGATCCAGAAATGAGACTCACTCGGGTGTTCTGATTGGAATTTGCTTGGACAAGCGATTCACTGTTGCGTTTTGGCTGGATGTCACTTCAAAGATTCTTCCCAACAGAATCTCCACAGGGGGGCTGGCTCGATTTCAGCCCTCGCAGATCCAGAAATGAGACTCATGCCAGTGTTTGGACTCGATTTCAGCTGTCGCGGGTCCAGAAACTGTTGCACGGGCGTAGGGTCATCACCATTCCGGATGTCCTAGGTCCAAAAAGTGTGGCAGGCCCATGAGTGTTTTTGAATGTTGTTCAAAGCGAATTCATGTCACAATATCGGCATCACGAGCGTTACCCTCATCAGCAAGTTTCTTTCCGTAATCGTATCATATGATGAGGTCGTTATCGCAAGCCGACGTTTCAGGGATCCATCCGCCGCCACACCTTCGCTGCGGTTAGGGTGCTTCGCTGGGGTATTATACTCAAGGGGTTTGGCCTTGGGCGTCTTGGAAGCATCTGGGGCGCCTCTTGGGGCCTCGTTGGGGTCTCTTTGGGGCTTCTTGGGGGCATATTGGTGGCCTCTCAGGGACCTCTTAGGGTCTCCCGGGTACTTACTGGCGCTATTTCAGGGCACTTTGTGGAGCTTCGGTGGCCATTTTGGAGGAGATCTGTCAAAGGAGGGGCCGCAGTACATTAGGCCCCCCCCCAATGAGGCCGACAAGTGGCCAACATTGTTTTGCAACATTAATGATTTTGGCATTCTCGCCGAGGCCTCTTCGGTCGTCTTGGAAGCCTGAGGGCGCGTCTTGAGGCCTTCTGAGTGTCAACGCGGGGCCTTTGGGTGGGGCCTCCTGGGCATTTGTTGGGTCTGTCTTGGGGGACACTTGGGAGCCTCGGGACCATCTTGGAGGAGATCGGTCAAAGGAATGGGGCTCCCCAGGTGGTCAACATGTGGCCAAAACCGTAGTGAAATCAATGCTGTGGGTGTTCATCTCCGAGAGCGGAAAAAAACGCCCTGACACCTCGCGACCACCGCCGTCCAGACCTAGAGGGAGGGGGTACGGGGAGGGGTCAAGCTACCCTCCTAGATAGCAGGACATCTAGCTTACCTCCACCCGCCCGCCCAACACATAAGCAACACCCGAATGCCAGCAGATCGCTCAGGAACGCCACACATGCCATGCGCGCCACGGGTTCCAGGTGCACCAGGCACCCTGTAGGCCCGAGGGTGCCAGGTGCGGCGCGTGCCCCACGTGCGCCAACTGTGCCACGTGCTCCAGCCGCGTCAGTTGCGCCAGCTACGGCAAACCACTATGGATCCCAGGTGCTTGCCGAGCACTATATGAGAAGGGCGGTTTCTCCAAGGAGCGCAAAGCAACCGAACCGATGGACAAATCGTGACATCTTGAGGAATCGTGAAACAGACGAGACTTCAGAAAAATGAGGGCCCTGCGCATGTTCCACATTTGGAGCCAAAGTGTATTGTTGAATCGCTTTTTGACAGGGCTGGTTGGCCTGCACGCAGCAAGTAAAATGCCGTCATCCTCGCCGTCCCTGTCAAACAACGCTACAAAGGGGTCGCGGGGCGCCCGCGCATGCGCCACATTTGAAGGCAACGTGTACGTTGTATTGTTTTGAATATGGATGGCGGGGGGAAGGACTCATTGGGCCAGGTTGGCTGCCGGTCGCCTGGGGGAGGGGGTGTTTATTTACAGGGAACAGTGATGAAGACACCGTCCCTGCCCACAAGTCGTCTCGCTCACTCCCACCCGCCCTCAAAATATATAAGTAGCACCCGAGACGCAGGGTATTCAGCATTAGTCTTTGGATGGGCAGGGACAGCCACTGGGAACCAAAACTGACCCCACGTGCGCAACGCGGGGGCGAGGTGCGCCATGCGTGCCAGGCGCGCCACGCGCGCCATGTGCGCCAGGTACCCCTGTGGCCCAAGCGTGCCAGGACGCCTGCCATGTGTGCCACATGCTCCAGCCGCGCCAGGTGCGCAACGTTCGGGGCACGCGCAAAGCGTGCCAGGTGCGCCTGCACACGTGGCAGTACACATCGGGAAACGTGTCGGCCCCCACCACGCTTGTCGAAAAGCAGTGCGCATTCGCGACGGGGTGGCCATCATAGCCTCTGGCGGGCCTGCACATGGCAGCCAATATGCCAGCACCCCCGCAGTCCCAGTCAAAAACCTATGCCGGGTAATCGCAGGGTGCCCGCGCATGATCCAGATTTTGTCTCAAAGTGAAATTTTGTATTGCTTGTTGACGAAGATGCTGGCCATGCGCGCAGCAGGCAACGTGCGGGCAGGCCCGCCGCCTGCGCCAAGAAACGGTACAAAGTGCTCGCTGCCCCCCGACCCAAAGATGCTGCCCCAAAGTGGATTTCACAGCGTTTTTGATTGGGATGCTTGGGGGGGCCCTAATTGGTCCTGGTTGGCTGCCAGTCGCCTGGGGAAGGGGGTGTTTATCAATAGGGAACAGCGGAAGAAGGGGGTTGGAAGAGGAAGCTGTCTGAATCACTCACGCCCTAAAGGGCTGGTAGGGTTGCTCAGTTTCTCTCTCACGGTGTTCAATGCACACGCCGTGATTTTTCCCTGCGCGGGGGGGGGGTGGGGCGCTCGCCGCGAGAACCAGCGCGGCGTGCGCGCGCGAGCGCCGAACGCGCCTGGTTTGCGGGAGCCGACGCGGGGGGCCTTACCGCGGCCAGGATGGGCATTTTTCCCAAGGGTACCCTTGCATCCTTGCCTCCTCGGTCCATCCTTGGCCACTCTCGTTGGCCGCGCCCCGCTCGAGAAGCTTCGAGATGGGCGTCCAAGGCCTTTGCATCCTTATCGCGCATCCTTATGAGACGTGCCGACTGTAGAGAGGAGAGGGGGAAGAGGAGACTGGAAGTCGGATCGGTCTGCGTCCAGGGAGGCGGGTCTGAAACGCTAGCTGGGGCGCGAGGGCGAGCGCGCGCCCGCAGGGCGCTCTCCCGCCAGCAGCGGCCGCCACCGCCGCAGGCTGAGCAGGCAGACGCGAGAGAGAAGGGATTCGCGGGGAGAAATGATGCGGGGAGGGAGGGATCGAAGAAGAAAAACCGCATAAACATAAACTTTTGGCGCTCCGCGCGGATTTCTCGGATCCGCGCTGGGCCCCTTGGCGGCGCCTCTGGCGCCGCCCCTGACGCGCTCCGCGCGTCAGGGAGGGGGGTCCAGCGCAGATCCAAGAAATCCGCGCAGAGCGCCAAAAGTTTCTGTTTCTGTGTTTTGTTCCTTTTTCTTCTTCTTCGAAGTGAGGATGTGGCGGTGGGGGGGAAGAGGAGGAGGACGACCGAGGAGAGAGGAGGGAAGGGGGAGAAGGGGTGACTGAGGAGGAGGAGGAGAAGAAGGAGGGTTGAAGGGGGACGTCTAAGAGGAGAGCTGATGCTTCGACCATGGACAACGCGACGCCTCGGCGGCCACCCGAGGCTGAGTTCATGGCGAAAGCCGCCGCGCATTCGAATCCTGCAAACCGTTTCGCTGCACGCTGTGAGGTCGCAGAGCTCCCTCGAGCGTCGCGGCTCGCTGCGCACTGCCCAACGAGCATTGCGGCTCGCTGCGCACTGCGAGGGCAGCGATTCCCTCGAGCAACGCTGCTTGCTGCGCACGGAGAGAAATGAGCGACAACCCCACGAAACAGATGACTAAGGTAGAGAACCGTCATAGCTCCCATGACAACGTCGGACGGCAGGAAGGCTGTTTGCGCCTCCGAGAGCGTGTTCCCGCGCAGATCCCCGCCCCGTGCGACTCGTCCGCGCGCCTCCTCCAGCCGGACCCGCCGCCTCCGACGCGCGCCTCGAGCGCGTCGTCGACCTTCTTGCACTCACCGCCGGTGTGGCGTTGCCTTCTGGACGCTGGTATCTTCGTGGCGCCCCGAGGCAGGAGCGCCGCCGGCGCACTGCCGGCGGGCCTCGAGCCGCGACCCGCGCTGAGGCTCGGCGCAGCGCCGCGGCGCCCGGCGCCGCCGCTTCCGCGCTGCCGGCGTCGGCCTGCGAGGCGGCGCTGCGGCGGAGCGCGTCCATCAGGAGGGAAAGAAACACGCAGACACAATTCATCGTCGACTCCCAGGAAAATATGGGAAAATATGAGAAGTGGGGGGGAAGACAAAAACCCGGAAAATATAGGAAAATATGGCGACTATTTTTATTTGTGTGTATTTATTTGTGTGTCCTGGGGCCCCTTCAGTCCAGCCGACGGCCTCGCCGCCAGCGCGCGGAGCAGCCTGAGCGGGCGATGCGCGCCCCCGCTCCATCGTAGCCGCCGCTACCAGGCGCCGATCGAGGTCGTCGCCGTGTGCGCGCTCCGAGCTGGATCATCGAGGTCGTCGGCCCAGGGGTGCGCCCTCGGGCGGCGCCCAGTGAGGACGATCTGGAGTGCGAGAGCCTGCGCAACGACGAGGAGGGTGACGAGGAAGAGGACGGGGACATTGGCGAGGCGGGGGGGATAAGGCAATGGATGAGAGGGCGGAGGAGCAGCCAGGTGCTGAGGGGGGGGGGGGGAAAGAATCCATCGCATGCAGCTAAGCTGTTCCATATAATTCAGCTCTGATGGGCCTTCGCTTCTGTGCTTCACGAGCGCGGCCTCTCGGATGCGTTCTGCCTGGCACTATCCCTCCGCCTTACGCGGGTCGACTCGGGCCATGCAGCTGCGCCACGTGAGGCGTATCCAGGGCTTTGGGGGAAATCGAGCCCATATAGCATATGGCAGTGATCGCTGTGTCAGCGCTCACTTTGCAAGTCCTGCTTCTTTCCCGAAACAGGGCCCGCAAGGCGCTTCTCAGGGCGGTGTCTATGCTGGACATTCGCCCCACGCAGGATGCAGAACAGCACTGGCGGCCCCCCGAGAGCCTCAGACAACCGAAACCTGCGCCACATCGTGCCCAGAGAATTTGCCAATCCTCAAATTTGGTGGGGTCGTTCTTCGACGACTGCTGCACACAGACGCTCGTGCAGCTCGGGGTCCTCCAGGTTGGGCTCTACAGCTCCTCCCTCGTAGATGTCAGTGGGAGCCGCACCTGCAACAATGCCTGAAGGAGTACAGTCGGACCGAGGTATAAGATCGAGGTGGGTTGGGGGAGGATGCCCTACAGTCAACCCGCATAGTAAGGATGGGCAACTTGCCCAAGGGTACCCTTGCATCCTTGCCTCCTCGGTCCATCCTTGCCCAGTTTCGTTGGCCGCACCCCGCTCGAAAAGCGTCGAAATTGGCGTCCAAGGCCCTTGCATCCTTATCGCGCATCCTTACTATACGGGTTGACTGTAGTGTTCTTCGTGTTTGTTGGACGGTCGTTTGCATCCTGGGGAGGGCACCCTCGGATGCTCTTGGCGGGCGGAGGGTCCCATCTTCTTGAAGGATGCGATTCAGGAGGGAGAAAACACACAGACACAATTAATCGTCGACTCCCAGGAAAATACTACAAAATATGGGAAGTGGGGGGGAAGACAAAAACCCAGAAAATATGGGAAACATACAGGGGATCCGGTTAGTTGTGTGGATTTATTTGTGTGTCCCAGGACCCCTTCAAATCTGTCCTAGGTCCGACTGTACCAGCTGGAGCGGCCTGCGCAGCCGCTGCATCAGCGTCCGCCTCGACCTCGGCCGCTGCCTCTCGCTGGGTCCGCTCCCGCACTGCTGCCTGCTGCGCATCAAGGCGAAGTCGGTGAGATCTCGGACAGGTGCGCCGACGCCTTGAGCTTCCCCACCAGCTCCGCACTGTGCCGAGCATGGGGACCGCATGGCGATCTCCCTACTCTTGATGGTACCGTCGAGCTCTGACAGGGCCATACTATTATTCTCCATCTGCTTAATCTCCGGGTCCAGCTCCTGATGCTTGGCGTCCATCGTCTCTCACGTTGCCGCAGCGCGTTCGATTGTCTTCTCCAGTTACTTCTCCATCTAGGTTTTCCGCTGATGGAGGTTGGAGGAGAGGCTAGAAGCAAAGAGCAGGGATGAGAAAGGGAGGATGAGGAGCAGAAGGAGGAGGAGATGATTCAGAGGAGGAGGACGAGGAGGAGGAGGAGGAGGACAGAGCGGGGAGGAAGCGCGTGGGATCTTGCAACGGGAGGGGGGAAGAGAACAGAGCAAGAGGATCTATGAGGACGAGAAGGATGGAGTGGAGACAGGAGGACGAGGACGAGAAGAAGGACGACCACCCCGTCGTCCAAGCCTCGGCAGGGCCCCCCGCAGCAGTAAGGTGCACGCGCGTTGCGGGCGGGTCGGACCGGAGTGCGCCTCCGCGAGTGTCGGCGCGAGGGAGGTGCGTAAAACAAGTTCGAAGCTCGGCCACCACGAGCAACTGTTAGCAAGGTTGCTTCTCTGCCCTGGGCCAGGGAAGCACGCACACAGAAGAGCCGGACCTTCGCGGTCGTTCTCTGAGCAGCTGTTTCTCGGACAGGTACCCCGCTTTCCCCCGCCCTCTGGGCGGCGCCCCCCGCGCCGCACCTGACGCGTCCGCTGTGTCTGCGAGTGCGCTGCCCAGCTGCTGTCTGCCATGCCCCCCCTCCTCCTATCCCCCCCTCCCTTTCTGCCATCAGATGCCTTGGCATATGCCTTGGCATCGCTCGGCGAGCACCATCGAGGAGCATCTTGGGCCACCCTGCTAGAGAACGCGCGCACGAGATCAAACCAAGTGCACAGGGAGTGGACGTCCGAGCCGGCGGGAAGGACGGAAGGAGGGAGGAGGGAAGGCAGGAGACGCGGGGCGTCGTCCTTTCAAAACGAGGACCCTACGGGAGGTTCGCGTCGTGTCGACCGGTGGCGACCCCGCCGTTGGCGTTCAAGGTTGAACGCCGTTGGCGACCCAGCATCGGTGGGTGTTGAACGATCTTACGTTTCGGAAGCGGCCGATCGTTCAAGGTTGAACGATCCGCGCGGTGTCGGGAACCAACGCCAGGGTCGACACGACACGAACCTGCAGTACACCACGGGATGGTGAGGAATGAATGGAGTGGAATCCAAAACCCACATCGATGTCCCACTGTGTCCTCCGGTCAGTTGAATGGTGCTTGCAATGCAGATCAAAGACGGGCCCGGGAAATGCGGGCCCGGGAATTTTTTTCAGTGCAAGTGTTTGAGAGACAACGTTGGTTTTCTCTATTTAACTAGAGCTGTAGGCGAGCTACGGTGCTGAGATGCACACCTTCCGACAGGAAATGATCAGGAGCGCTAGTCTACAGTATCGAGACGTCTGAGATCGGTCTGCTACCAGAGCTGCGACTGAAAGACTAATCATGCACGTTCCGTTTCCGTGCGGGCTGCGGGGCCAAGGCCACTTACGGATGACGGCCGTTTTCTGGAAAGGGTGCCCCCCCCGCCCCTGCGATACACGAGCGGCGTGCAGAGTATTTGCAGCGAGCCGCTGGGCGAAATGACTCATTCAAGAGGGGGGAAGAACTCACAGACGCAACTGATCGTCGATCCCCAGGGAAGTGTTGGAAAAGATGGGAGGTGGGGGGGAAGACGAAAACCCAGAAAATATTAGCAAATATAGGAAATCTGGAGATCTGTGCATATTGATTTGTGCGTGTTCCTGGGCGCCTTCGCTCCTGCCCTCGCGCTGCTCCTGCGATCCACGTCCTGGCATCGCCAAGACGTGTGCACGCTCATGTTCGGCCGAGACCTTCGAGGAGCATCCTGGATCCTCTTGCGAGAGAGTGCTCCAGATTTCGTAATAAAGGGAGGGGGGTCTCATTTCGGGGGGGGTCTCTTCCAGGCTATCTTGGAGGGCCTGGGGGGGGTCTGGGGACGATGTTTTGGAGGGTTCTCCCACGGGGGGGGGTCTGAAGTGGCTTGTCCTGGAGGGTCCAGACCCCCTCCCTTTGACTACGAGATCTGGAGTACCCCGCCTCTGCGGCCCACGAGCGGCGCGCAGACTCTGCAGCGAGTCGCTGGGGGGAAAGACCCGTGTGGGGGCTGGACTACAGAATTGATTATTTCGGAGGTGGATTGACCTCCTACGGTAGGTTTGCGTCGTGTCGACTCGCGGCGACCCCAGCGCGGGCGTTCAAGGTTGAACGCCGCCGGC